CCAGTTTTAGCGTCTGCACCACAATGATGGAGAACAAATATAAAGGACTGGGGCTGCAGCTCAATGGTGGAGCAAATCTTGCATATGTGAGAAGGTGCTAGATTCCTTCCAGAGCACCACACACACACACAACACATGCACACACACATAAAATCACCCTCGGTAATCCCTTTAAATTGCCCTTTACATATACCATTATTACAAAGCATAACCTCGAAGCTAGTCAAAGTTAATGTTTAAATTCTAATATGACTAAACATACATTTCTAGGGTTTTTAAAACACCATACCTCTGAAACCTCAAATCCCTAAGGTGAATAAAAAATTCTAAAATATTCCTATCTGTCTTTTGGATTACTCTTGTTTTATTGTTAAACTCAGTAACTTCAATACAAATTACCAGATTGATATTCACTTATTAGAACAAAGCACAGAACCATGTGTTAGGAATGGACAGGTAGTAGGGTGGATGGAGGCAAACCGAACGCATGTACATTGCTACTCCACAGTACAGTAGCTGCAGCTCAGACATCATTGTGTAAGAAGTGTGCTAATTCGTTTCACACCGAAAAGTGAAGGTCATGCCTGTTCTGTATTTCTATTGACTACAAGAACTTCTCCTGGCATCTGGAGGTGTCGATTAACTTATGGATCACATAGTAACTTCTTCACAGAATGATTTATGTAGAAGTTAACGATACAAGTTAATGTCACGGTTGTGAGGTTTAATGTACTCCTAAAGTCTCAAGTCCTCAGAGGTAGGCCTCTAGGCCATAACTGAATCAGGAGGGTGCTAACATGCTGGAGGAGGTGGCGCTGAGTCACTGGGTCCACTTAGTCCCTTCCTCTTTCTCTGCTCATCCCTGCTCTGTTTCCCAGGTGCCATGAGGTGAGTGGATTTCTGCTGCCACCCTTCTGCCTTAGAGCCAGCCAGCCATAGACTGAAACCTTTGAAACCATGAACCAAAACAAATCTTCCTCTTTAAGTTTTGCTTGTGCTACTATTATTTGTTGTTGTTTTGACTGTGGTGAGGTTTTCTTGGGGGGGGGGGTTGGTGAGTTTTGACTGGTTTTGTTTTGAGGGGGAGGGTACTGGGGAATGAATTCAGGCCCTTGCCATTGAGCAACATTCCCAGCCCTTTTTTATTTTTCAAGTTTTGAGACAAAGTCTTACCAAGTCACTCAGATTTAGGTTCAAACTTGCAATCCTCCTGTCTCAGTCTCCTGGAGCGCTGGGGATTACAAATGTGTACCACCATATCCAGCTACCTTAAACTGTTCGTATCAGGTATTCTATCTCCTCAACAGAAAGATAAATAACAGTTACCTACAAAGACATACTGTATACAAATATATTAAAAACGTGAGTCTAGGAGTAGTTAAAATTCCACTAAACGATGGTTGGGGTGATGGCCAGAACCAAGAATGGCTCAAACGGATCACATCATTGTCCTATTCTGAATCTCCAACGCTCACTATTCTGCTTCTGGGTCAGCATCAGCAACATTCAAGATTCTGAAGTTTTAATTTGTCAGAACAAATCTATAGCATTATTTAGCAACAAAACTGACAAACTCTAGCTTCAATCAAATCAAAAAGTTGACAGTTTGCCTCGAACCACCACAATGAACACAGATCCACTTCCTTTCTCTCCCAAGAACCCAAAATGAACGAGAAGCTATTTTATTTCACACTTTCCACATATTTTTGTAAAGAGGAATAAAACTACCATTTTGAATGTACAATGTAAGTGCACATAGTTTCAGAGAGACTCAAGGATTATTATGTAAACAGTACATGGAATTAGGAGGTAAATAAGAAGCCGGAAGACACACTAGGTATTAATGGTAGGAAAAACTCTACCTTGGTCATAGGAAAAGTACTATGGATCTACCATTTCTGTACTGTAAGTTCAATATTCTTGGTAAAAAGACTAAGAGCATATCAACTCACTTGTCTAGAATGAATATTTACTTTCTAATCTTTTTGTATGCAGCAAAAGTAGTTTCCATAGAACAATTATTTTAATGTCAAATATTTTCTACCATATTTTAAATAACACGTTTTTAAAAAGCAAAACTTTGTTTCACTTATTTTGAAGAAAGATGATAGAATAAACCTTTCTTCTAGAGTACTCCTTTTCTTGCTCTATATACTCTGTTTCCAGTTTTCAGGGATGAAGCACTTGATAGCTATACTTATATCTCTCATGTAAAGATGTGCTACCCTTTAACTGTTAGCACTTTTCACATTTGTTTGCTTACATGCTGAGACACAAAATCACAACCTGATTTATTATGGAGATCAAAAATGTAATTAGTTATCCCATTGCTCCTCATTAGTTTCAAATAGAGAAAGCATAATCTAAGGTATAAGACTAAAGATAAGACTAAAGCACTTTTTCCATTTTTCCAAGTCCACAGATAATTTAAAGTGGTACTTTGAATGCAAAACAAAATAAACAAGTGAAGCAATTTTTTTATTGAAGAAGAAAGAAACTATAGAGTCCTGTCAGTTACCTGGCTGGCCTATTCTGAAGTTTCAAAAAACTAACAACTCTGAAAATAACTGGTAACCTATAAAGTGTGACAGAACATAGACTGTAAGCTCCTCAAGGACGGAGGCAGCCTTGTTTTGTTCAGTGATTAAGCCAACGGTCTAGAATAGAGCCTGACACATTACAAGGCCTCAGTAAGCATTTTCTGAGTGAATGAAACAGGTGGTGTCTTTAAGAACAGGTAACCACAACAAAAAGCCCAAATACATGTGGTGGCATAAACCCCCTACATTTGAAGTAAGTCTGTATTTCACCATGCATTTCACTCTGGGGTTTTCTTATGCAACATTTAGACTGGTGTGCTCAAATTAAGGTTGAGAGAAAAGTGGGTAGTCAATATGCTAAAGATTTTTTAAATTGTATTTTATGATACCCTTGTAAGTTAGTTCCTAAAGGATCTGAATTGGGTGTTTATTATTATTATGAAAGTATTATTGCTGTTTGAAAACAATAACTTTTCTATATTGTTTATGTTCTCCAGAGATCAACCACTGTTTCATCCTCACCTAATTTCGGGGCAACAGCTAAAATTGTCAACACCCATTATAATTTCCTAACTCAACACTGAACAAAGGAACTACCACAACTAGTAAGGCAAGAATCTGTCATTAAATAAAACTGGGGTAATATTCAGAAAATCACATTATTTGGTAAATTAGAAAAATAAATGCATGTAAATTCTCATTTTTAACAACATATTTATGAGAATAAATTTACAGGGTTTTTTCCTTTTCCAGTACTTTTTTTCCTTTCAAAAATTACATATACTCTCCACAAAAATGCTTTTTGAAACAGTGGGCTGTTTGTCAAACGAAAATCTAAGAGTGTATCAAATCTTCAATTAGAACTGAATAAAATACTTGGTAAAGTAGCCACTTTCATTCTGAAAGAAAATATAAAGTCCTACACTTTCTTATTCAAAAAATCACTTTTGTATTTGCAGATTTTAATAAGTATACAAGAATATGGTCTTAAAATAAACTAATTTTTAAAACCTTTACCCACTAATTGCAGTATTTTGAAGGAAATAAGTATAAGAAATTAAATTTAGGGTTATGAAACTATCTGCATTTGATTCCCATAGGTTTACTTAATCAGTAAAATGTGCAGAATTTTAAATTAAGTGATCTTTCATTGCTGTGAAGCTAATATGAACAATTTAAGAATTCCTAAAAAGTAATTTCTATGAACTCAATGTCAAGCCACCAAGTTAATGCAAATACCAAACCATCTTGAAAATGTTATTTATATGAGACGTACTAATTCTTGTCTATGTGAGCATATTTTATACACTTCTAATTTTCCTAATATTTCAAAAAGAAGAGTGGTCTACTACTAAGGCACACAACCCTCACCTCTGATGTATATGTTCCTCTCCCACGGTACAAAAAAGGCTTCCTACCATTTAGGTTTTACACTATGTGAATTGAGACCCATGTTCATATAATTATATTCGTTCCATTCTGTTAGTAACCATTTCAAGCTGAAAGAACACAACAGGTTCTAAACATGTTAAATTCTATAAAGCCATTAGCAATAAATTTGATCCGGCCGTTTGCTAGGACAATGGAAACTGCTGAAAAAGCGTCTATTAGTCATTCTAGACAAACCCATTGGGATTAAAAGAATGAGCTAAGACCATCTAAGGACGAAGCACACCCTCTCCCCGAAAAAATTAATCCAACTGGATTTCAGTTTCTGAGGCTCTAAGAGAATTTTCCTTTTTATTACCACTAATTTCAACAACTCTTGCATAAACTCTACCTAATATTTGACTCAACTGTCTTCCTCCTTCCAATCCCACTTGTTAGCTTACACACAGTAATTAAAATAAATCCTTCTTTTGGTAAATGTCCGTGGATTGGTGAACTTCGTACTTCAGTTGCCAGCTCAGCTGCTTTTTGGCCAGCTCTGCACCAAGTAAAAGGCGGCTTTGGTTTCTTTGCGCCTCATGCGCTCAGCAATGTGAGTAGAGAAACCCAAACACCTGGTCACATTTCCAGCACCGATCTTGCCTCGCGCGCTTCCTGACCGACCCAACTGTAGCCGCGGCAAGTGGCAGCAGCCCCGAGGGCCGGCGCCGTGCGATCCCCGCGGTCGCGTGGTCGGACAGGAGCGAGCGGGCGGTGCCAGACGCTGAACTTGGGAGACGCCGGGAAACCAACCCAGGCAGCTCGGGCCCGGCGCTCTCAGAGTCCCCCATTAAGGCCAAAAACTCAAGGTAGCTCCACCACTTTTTGAGAAAGAAGGGGAAGAAAAAAAGACGGTGGCGGAAAGGAAACTGGAAGGTGGGGTGGCGCGAAGAAGAATCGCGGAAAGTAGTGGTTCCCTCCTTCCTCCGCCGCGCCAACTCCTCCGCAGCCCGACGCGCTCTGGGAAGGTCCCGGCCGGCGCGGCGCGCTCGTCGGCGACCTCAGGCCCCAGGACGCGCAGGGTGGGCTCACCTGGGGCCGACGGCCGGAAGGCCCCGTCCCGGTCCTCCGGAGCGCGACCGGGCAGCCTCGCGCCGTCCGCCGAGGGGCTGAACCCTTGGAACGCCCAGCGCGTGCCGTAGGGCGGCCCAGCCGGGCTGACCGGCCCGGCCGCGGGGCACAGCTTGAAGGGCACCGGGCTGGCGGGCAGGGTCCGGAGCTGCGCGCCCGCGGCGGCGGCGGCGGCGAGGGCGGCCGCGGGGCCGTGCGGCGGGGGCGGGGGCGGGGGCGGCGGCAGCCCGTGCGCCGGGGCGCTGCTCACCCGCAGCAAGTTCTCGATCAGGAAACTCTTGCCCAGGCTGCCGAAGCCCGGCGTGGCCGGCAGGCTGAACAGCGCAGAAGAGGCCACCACGTCCCAGTAGGCGCCGGCGTGGGCCGCCACGGCGCTGGGGAGCATGGTGCGCGCCCGTCGCGCCCGCCTCTCCCTCGCGCCGCGCACCGAACCCGCCGCCGCCGCCGCCGCCCTCCGCGGGCCGAGCGCGCCGAGCCGGCGGGGAGGACGGGCGCCGAGGACGCCGCGGGCGTGGGCCGGTATTATTTATTTGCGTTGGGCGTTCTTTTTAGGGCTGGGAGGAATGAGCGGGTGGGGGTGGGGGGTCCTGTGCGCCCCCTGGAGCGGCGGCGCAGGCTCTAGGAGCGCCGGGAGTCTGTGCGGGTCGCTAGGGTTTTTTTCTAGAAAGACAGAAGGTGTGTCCAGCCCATCTATTCATGTCACCCGGCCCGCAAAGTGACAGACGCGGCCAACAATGAGGGCAACCCGAGGGGAGTCGGCGCTGTGGCAAAGGGAGGGGGCTCAGGCGGCAGGAGGTGGGCGTGGAGGCGACGTGAAACGGGCGCTCTCGTTCCCCCGCAGCGGGTGAGCCGCGGCCGTGTCGCTGGAGCCCACAGCCGGGCTGGCGCGAGGCCGGCGGTCGCCGCGTTGGGCGTGCTGTGGGCGGGGACGCGCCTCCTATCCCGGGTACCCGCGTGGGCAGCCCTGGCGCGCCTAGGTTGGGTGTCACCTGAGGAGTGTCCACGCCCAGGGGACTTGAACACAGTCGCCCTGCGTCAGGAAAACTCGACCATGATACTAAGACCTGGGGTTGTACCGCTGAAAAGTTTTTTTAAAAAGTAGTATATTCTCATATTATATGAGGCCCCTGTATTTTAGGGGAAAAGATGTATTTTTCTTGGGAGGTCTCAAATTTTTCAGTTTCCACTGATTTACTTCGGGGCACTATTAATAAGATTTGCTAACTTGCAACGCACAGACTCAGGAAAGAGGTGTCTGCAGCTCCTTCTCTTGGGACGAGATGATCAAATAAATTTTGGTGTAGGAAAGAGAATGTATTTAAAGTTGGTTTTGCCCAACCATCCAGTGAAGAAAAGCCAATACCAGATCCTCTTAGACATTCACAATTGGGTCCTTTTCTGCAGAAAGATGGGTACGAAAATATAGCATTCTTTATGACTGCAACGTATCTCTGTGTCTCTGAGTCTCTCTGTCTCTGTCCCTCTCTCCTCTCTCCTTCCATCTCTCTTTTTCTCTCTCTTTCCCCGAAAATTTAAGTATTTTTAATGTATTACCAGTTCGCTAAGTGAAGACAGGACAGGCTTTGTGTGTAATTAAAGGCCTTTTAACTACAAGGCAAGTTTAAAGGCATCTCGTTTTGGAAACTGTTTCAATGGAGTGTTAAAACTGTGCCTTTTTGTTGTTGTTGTTGTTGTCAGTTAACACAGTTCGTTGCCACTTTCCTGCCCAAATTTAGACTTATTTATTTAGAATAAGATTTTATAAGGGTGTCTGCAAAGTTTGAAGTCACATGCAGTTTTTCTCTTCGCTCTAAAAATAATATGGTCCCTTGCTTCAGTTTATTTAAAAACTTGACTGGAGTTAACAAACTATTCAGATACATTTCCTTGATTTGTATTTCATTTACACTATGTCTAAAACGTTTTTCTTGTTCTTTTTTGTTTGTTTGTTTTGTTTTTGGCTTTTTGTGACAAAGTCTCGCTATGCAGTTCAGGCTGGCCTTGAGCTCACTTTGTAGACTAGCTAGTCTCAAACTCTAGATCCTCCTGCCTCAGCCTCCCAAATTCTGGGATTACAGGCATGTACCACCATACCTAGCTATGTCCAAAACTTTTAAAAGGTCAACCCTTTCCAAAAATTAGCATAGTTAGATAAATTAATAAAGATGGAAATATTTTCTTATCTGATGGACAATTTTAGCACCTAATGCTCAATGGGAATGAAGTGATTTTCAAGACTGGTGTATACTACCAGGATCCATTCACTTAACTGATTTACTGCACAGATTTTTACCGAACGTATAATATTTGCTGAGTGTCTTAGTTACTTTCCGTTCATTGCTGAGACAAAATACTCGATGCCCAAAGTGAAGCAAAGGCAGGTTTATCTCTTACAGCTCTTGGAAGTTTCAGTTCATGTTTAGCTGGCTCCAAGGCAGGATGGCATGGCAGGGCAGGCCTTCTTGGCCATTGCAAACGGCAAGAGCAAACGGAATAAAAGAGAAAAGACACACCTTCTTCCCCAACTTATGCTGTATGCTGGCTCCACCTCTGCACCAGATACAAAATGCTGTGATATTTAACAAAATGAGTGGCAAAAAGAATGAAATGGAAGGCACAGTGTTATAAAGGTGGAATCTGTAAGCCTAGATGATGATATAGAGCAGTCCCTGAGACAATTATGTATTCCTCAAGGGACATTTGGCAATGTCTGGAGATTTTGTGGGATGACACAACTTGGAGAAGGGATGTTCTGGAGGCATCTATTAAATAGAGTTAGGAATTCTGCTTAACATTTCACAGTGCACGTGAAAGCTCATGCAACAAGGAAATAACTGGCTCATAATGATAGTGCTGAGGTTAAGAAACTTTGATTATGGCGAATGGATGCAGTATCACTTTCAGTGTTCTGCTTTGATAAGTAGGTAGTGTTGTAGTTTATGTGTAGATGTCTCCACAAAGCATAGTGCAGTCATGGGGTCTTTTTGGCTCAATCTAGAGTATACGAATGATTCATTCTGCAGTGATGGGATTAAGGGTGATGAGATTAAGTGTGGATGATTGCTGGGTCAGTCCACTGATTGGCTTGGCACCACCCTAATACCTTAATCCTGATAGACTGGATATAATATAAGGGCCAAAAAGGCTTCTCTTACTCTCTTGTTGGCTTTATTATTTTCTGCCCCTATGAACTGTTACCCCTCTGCCATATGCTGTCTTGCCTTGGAACCAGCTGATTATAGACTGAAACCTCCAAAAACTATGAACTAAACAAACTTCCCCCTTTTAACTTTGGTCGTCACGTATTTTGTCTCAGCAACAAGAAAAGTAACTACGACAGTTTCTCTTACCTAGATAGGGGCTTACAGAAAGAAAGGTAGGTTTAATGTGGGGAAATGATTGGGGAAAAAAGATGGAGAGCACTGTGATGGCTTATGGAATCTTTGAGAGAGAATATGTAATGGAAAAGGAAATGAATCTACAAGAAAATATCAGGGTATTTAAGCAGATAGTGCGAACTGCGAAAGTGACTAAAAATAAGCAGCCAGGATTCAAAGACAGAAACAGCTATGTTTTCAATGGTGATTAGGCCGGGAGAGCTTCACTGTCATGAATGGATTATACTCTTTATAAAAGGGTTTGAGGCTATAAGTTGACTCTCATGATGACTTTCATCCTGTGTTCAGCCTTTTGTTGTAAGATGAAGCATTAGAAGGTCCTTTCCAGATGCCAACACCTTGATATTCTCCCAAAAAATGGGAGGATAAATTTGATTTCTTTATAAATTACTCAGTGTGTTATGATAACACAGGATGAACTAAGACAAATCAAGAGGGAATGGTGTAATGGAAGGCAAAAGGGAGAAATTTCAGCAAAGGGTGGCAGACTTTGGTATAAAAAAAAAGACTGTATGCCTAGTAGTTTCTTTTTGCATCCAAACAGACCTGCAAGGTTGTGTTATGGCCAGTGAAATAAGGATTGAAGTGCTTTATTTATCCCTCAGATCTGACCTCTTGTAACAGTCTACATGGTTTTCTACATGATTTTTTATTCTTCAGTGGCCAAATGCCAGGGGCCAGCTGAGGACTGTAGTAAGTCTCTAGGAAATGGAGGAGCCACAATGAAAGGACTCCAAATCTCTTTTATCACCACATACAAAGCCAATCAGCAAAGATATGTGGAGAAATGACATTGGTGAAAAGTAACTTTTGTCAGGTAATGCCATCAAGATTTAGGAATTAGTTTCTACAGTTTGTTCTGGCCTTAATGAATACACTAACTGTGTTGGTGCCTCAGACCAAATGTAAGTATCCTGATTCGTGATGACTTGGTCAAGAACTTTTACATGGAGAAGAAGGGAGGCACAAATCAGTTTGTGGAGAGGTGAAAGCCAGGAGAGGAAAGAAAGTGGCAAAGTAGAGATTGAAGAAACATAGGAGAAACACTAAAAGGTGTGAAAGTAAGCAAGACAGGAATATTTATACGATGAGAGGAAAAAAGAGGTTCTGCAAGGAAAAACAGATGGTCAAAAAATGAGGCAGGTGTTTTATAGGGCAAAGTCATTGAGGGCCAGGAGAACTTGTGATCTGTAGTTCAAGAGGATTGAGACCTGTTTGGTCTTTACATGAATGAAAAGGAAGAAAAATAGCTAGATGCCTAAAGAGTTATTGGTAGAGAAAAATTGAGTCTCTGCCTCATGACTTTTATTTTCTTGGTGAAGCAGCTGTGGATAATAAAAGAAATAAAGTCAGATCAGCAGGAGATCTGTGTTTGAAATTCATCTATAGAAATTATTAGTTATGTGTGGGAGGGAAGTTTTATTTGTAGTCCCAATTAATGGGCTTCTTTATACCCACATTCTGTAGTTACCTCTCTGTTTGACTTTGAGCTCAATTCATGATTTGCCTTGGCCGTAGCACAGCAAGGAAAGGCTTCAAAAAACACTAGGGTGTTTCTCTTTCCTTTCTTGGACTCTTGCAATTTCTGGGAGAATAAACCCAGTAGAAGATGAGAGAACTCATGAAAGAGAGAGGAATTGATTCAACTGGGACCATCCTAACCTAGCCAGATCCCAGCTTTGAAGTAATCTCCCCACAAACCGCACTAAAAAAACTTGTATCTGATAAACCCTGCAGGAAATGCACAGAATAGGGAAATGTACTAAATGACTCCTTAGGGATACAATCTCCAAAAACCAAAATGCAGAACATTCTAGGAAACAAGTAACTGATTCATGGTTAAATGACAAGAAAAAGAAAGAGGGAACTATTACAGATTGAAAGGGATCAGGTTATAGATCAATAATATGAAACAGACCAGACATGGAACAAGTTATGTTTTGTTTAGATGTAATAACGGCATTGTAGTTAGTTTTCTTTAAAGAGTCTTTAAACCAGCTAAAAACAAAGAACCAGATGAATCTGGTGAACTTTAATATAGAAAAATTCCTGGTAGTTTATTAAAACTTAATTTTAGCATTTGTTTTATAGTAAGCTGTGTAAAACTTTCATTATAAGCCCCAAAAATAGACTAAGGCTGGATATGGTGGTGCACACCTATAGTATCTGCACTTGGGATGCTGAGGCAAGAGGTTCAAGGCCATCCTGAACCATACAGTTAAACCCTGTCTCAAAGAGACAGAAAAAAAAGAGAGAGAAAGCTGACTGTAAATCTAATGTAGGACTAGAATTTTTTATGTAAATCCAAAATACATCAATATTTAGTGTGTCATGTGGTACTAAACATACAGGTTCAAAGAAAAATATGTAACAGGTAATTAGATTTCCATAATTTGTTGTGTACATGTTTAGGTGTTTCAGCTTTAAAATCTGATTCTGCCCACTTTGATCTAAAATGTATGTTAT